ACTTCGAGACTACTCTCCTGATTGTCCTCGTACTGATTTTTAACTTAACTTTGAGTAAAGATAGCCGAGCATCTTGGCCGGACTTAACTTTGAGTAAAGGCCGGAGGCCCGACGGTGACCGTACCGGCGGTCCGAGTCCCGGAGCCTCCAGACGGTCCGGCCCCGGCCCGGCGGGACCCGGGCAACCGCTAGCGGTACTAGGTATATGACTTAACGAAGTCGGGCCGGGACGCCCCAGGCCCGGTGACTCGAAGTTGCCGCACGCCGACCGGCCGGACAGGGCCGCAGACCGGGCCGTGGCTTCCGAGTCCGACTCATCACCGTCACGGTGACGGACGGTGAAATCGCCGGTGCGGGCGGAGTCCCGGCGGCCCGGGCGGCCGGGGGCCGGGACCGTGCGTGACCGACGGACTCTCGGACGTCGGACGGTCCCGAGTCCCGATTATCCGAGTCTCCGAGCCAGCAGTCACGAGTCAACCGCCGCACCAGGCATTCTCGGGAGTCGCGCACCAGGCATTCCGGTCGGAGTACTTCTTTACTGCCGGTTCTGCTGATTGTCCTCGTACTAATTTTTAACTTAACTTTGAGTAAACATTCTGGAGCCTGGTAGAGACTTGGGGAATGTTGGATGCATGGAGCTGACCAATGACTCCCCCAACGGTCACGCCACGCCCGCATATCTCCTTCTACCCCACCCCCCTCATTATAGCTGATTGGTAATGGAGGGGTGGTAAGGTCATCTGACCGTCAATCTACTTGGAAAAAAACACACATGAGGTATCCCTACCCCCTCTTTGAGTGTCAAGATGGGGTCCTCCGGAGGAAGTAGTCACAGGCTACGTGTCGTTGAGGTTTTGAGCCGGGGTGTTTCACCTGGGGGTGGGGGCAAAAATCAGTACAAGTACGGGGTGGTAGTACAGATCCAGGAAAAGACGGGTATCAAACTCGGAGTCACGGGATTTTCGGGACCCACGGGTGCGACGGAGGAAATTATTGGGGGTGGAGTGGGGTGGGGTGGAGTGTATCGGACATGGACGGGGTGTTACACTGCAACAGGGGAAACACGGGGTGGTTGGTGGTGAAAGTAAACTCTTTCACTACCCCACCCACCTGTTCCCTGTATCTGCTACAGGTACCTTCGGGCGTGTCAACTTCCTGTTTTCTTTTTTCCTTCTGTCCTGTCGATCTGCACAAACCAGACTGATTCTCGCCAGCCCACCGGTGGCATTCAGAGGGAATTATGGATAAGGGGTGGGTGATGGTGGTTGTCGGTAACGAGATCAATCTTGGAATGCTGACTACAAAGGGCCCGCTGCCCCGACGAGAAGTAGAATATGGGTACATATCTGGTGGGGGGATGTGGGGGAGGGGGAGGGGGAGGGGGGTAGTAAATACGTTGAGTCACGGATCAAAAATCAATTTTGATCTAATTTTTTAACTTGACCGCCTCTGTACCCACCCCCTGTGCAGGTACCTTTTATGTACGAAGCACCCGTACTCGACCCTTTGCCTTTCAATTCTGCTGATTCTGTACCCCCTCTGATGTAGCGTCGACCCACCCCCTCCGAAATACCCCTACCCTCCACCAGAAGTCAACGGACCCACTTTTGCTCCCCGGCCTCTTGCTCGGTCCTTTCCGTGCCCTTACTACCTACCCCTACATGTCGACTGAAACATCTTCAACCTAGCTACCCTACCCCTGTGGGGATGAAAATGGACCCCTGCAAACACAGAATTCCCTGATCGATGAACCCCCTCATTGGTTACCCCACCTACCTCCAATGTTTACCACCGAAGTCCACCTGACGATTATCCTAACCCCCACCCTACCGACTTCTTCTACTATTCCGTGATGGGTGCATTTCCCGCCCGTGGACAACCCCTACGTATGTCCCCTCCCTTCTGTAAATCCTTTTCAACGTCCCCCTATCCACATCTTGATGCATCTTGCTTCGACCATGGTTGTTTTCTCCCCTGCGCCAATTAGAAAATGTTGTAGGTATGACCAATCGTAATGCAGGCAACTGGCAAACTTGTGGCTCGGAAACTTCCTGACTACCCACCCCACGAAAATCAGTGGGGCACCTTAATACCTCTGACCCTATCACCTCAGGTTGGAATCTTCAAATGGGCTATAGGGAGGGGGTGGGGTGAATGCGCCATACCTCTTGGAACTCGCATGAAAATTGACCTTCATCCGCCTACATCCACATTCGATGTCTGCGGTCTTGATATTTCTCCCTTCAAGGGTATAACATTTATCTATTGAGATGATAGTAAGTTACACGTATGAGCTTGGGAGCGAGGTTACAGAAGAGGGTTCAGCGAGCTTACCCCAACGTTTGACTACCAGGTCCAACTCAACATGGCGGGATACATGTCCTCCACGGGTAGCCAGAATGCACCCCTACCCCAAAGAGAACTACCCCCCCAACCTACCCCCCACAATTTCAACCTTACCAGTCAAAATGCCGGAGTTTGCATGTGATATCTTTATGCCCCCATGTCCGCCCAAGTCACCTTCCACCCCACCCCCATGTTGCTAAAAACTGGGATATCTACTGCAAGCACCCTACCCTAGACCAAAGGACCCCACGATCTGATCATATCCACGGGGGACTTGAAGAATTGCTTCCGACAGTACGCCCACCCCCACCCTCTGGATGCAGAACTTTTTCATATCTGTTCTCATGACTACCCCTACTGGGTTCTTGTGATCCCGATTTGTGTACCAGCTTGCCGATACCACCCTACGGCATAATCCGACTGCACGTAACTTCAATTGGACCGGTACGTAACAAAATAGGGTGGTCTTGGTACCCCACCCTTGGTACTACCAAACCTCGTTGCTGATATCCACGAAGTTACTAATTCCCACCCCAACCAAGTACCCACCCTACCTCAAATTCCATCAAAAACTAAATTTTCCGTCAAGCTTCATTCCGTCCACCACCCACCACCCCTGTCCACCTAAGTTTGAATGACCTCTCTTCCATTGGCGCAGAACGTACCCCGGTAAACTAATGACCCTACCCTTGACAATCGAATTCCATTCACAACTACCCACCCTTCACGATCCGTTGACTCAATGCACATAGGCAAAAATACCCACCCTACCTCTACATACTGCAAGTACCCCCAGCCATCTTATCCCGGTTGTGATCAAGCCCTTGCTCCCCGTATCCGAGACCACCCCCACATGAGCAAAAATTGAGTACCCCCACCCTTGACCGAATTCTTTCCTTCACCGCCCGTCTCCGATCATTCCCCCTGCGTCCAGTTTTCCCCCTAGTATCTGACCCACCGCTCCCGACCGGCATTGCTTCAACCGCTTGCTTCTCCCTCGTTCTATCCCCCTAGCTCACCCCTCACCACTGCTTCCAGCATACTCAACTGAGACACGCATAGACTATCCAAGACACGCGGCGTCCTCCTTTCTGTTCTTTCTACGGGTGTGCTTCGTGTCATACCTATTCTGCACGCCACAGTTCGTTGCTGCCCGCCCCGTACCAGCTCATATTCACGCAAGATGCCTGTCTCAACCTTCAATAACGATGAGTATTCTGATCTCGCGATTCTCATTTCCTTGGAGGCTCGCAAGAAGGCAAGGAGCATCGTCATGTTGAAGAAATACATGAGGAGAAAACAGATGTTCAGACGCCATCGGTGTGATCGAAGTGCTGTTGCTGAAGCCAAGCAAGTTTCTGAGCCTGCAACTATCCCCCCGACGAACGATCTGAGCATCGCTGAAGATGTGAAACCAAGCAAGGATGAGATCAACTCCAAGGAGAGCGAACCACTGCCGTCATACCAACCGCGCCCATATCCTGGATACTTAAACGAGTCAAACGTCATGCCACGTACCAAGGCTGAAGGCAGAATTCCTCCTCTAAGGCAGCTTCTTACTTCACTGAAGAGAAGGCCGGTAGTCGACGGTGGACTTTCGGAATACTTCGTGGGAGAATTGTTCAGGAGGGCATCCAAGAATTATCGAATGAGCCGTGGGTGTCCGCCCGCATCCTCTTACGCGATCGACTCCCTGAAGTCAGACAAACAGCAGGATGCTTCTAGCACATGTGCCGTATGTCAGCTGGAGCTCGAGGGTGATACCAAGAACATGCCGTGCGGACACAGTTTCCATGAGGAATGCATTGTGCCATGGTTGCAGAGGCACAACACTTGCCCCTGCTGCAGATGCGAAGTTGAATCGGCCTGTCCCCGTCACAATCGCCGTCACATCCAGCGTCTGCAAGGCGAAGTGAGGGAGGAGGCTGTTGCCCCGGTTGAGGCCGTCACTCGTGAATGGCCCCATCCAAGGCAGGCTTATGCCTTGATCAGAGCCGTTGCTGTGTCAGAAGCCAAGTCGATCGATGTTGCATATTATCACTGTAAACAAATGCAGTCTTCTGCGTGCTCTTGAATTTGGGCATGATTGTCATAGTAGAATGAATAAACTGAATTAACTCTAGAATCTCAGTACTTGTTGACCATACTGATACTGATCTAGTCTGGCCTTGCCCGTCAGGCGCCGGTACTATCACGCTTGGCTGCACAGCTCGTCGAGTGTTCTGTCACTGAACTTCGCATTTTCTTGATGATTACGATTCTCCCGGTTCAGCTGTTGACGCCACTCGGGGCCGCTGCCACTGAGGCCGGCGCGGCCGGGCGCCGGACTCCCGGAGAGTCAGCGGCGCCCCCCCCCGGGTGCCCGGCCGGGGCCGCCGGGCGCCCCGGCGGGGGTGACTGCAGTGTGGCCCCGGCGCGGCCCGGCGCCGCTCCGACTCAGTCACAGTGCAGTGCGGCCCGGCCCACTGGCCATGCACTCTTAAGCACTCAGTGCCTCCGACTCCGCGCGGACGATGTACGGCAGGCGGGCTCACTGTATTGTCCTCGTACTCATTTTTAACTTAACTTTGAGTAAACTTGTCTGAGGCAGCCGTCACAAGAAAGTTGAAGGCTCAGTCAGGTGCCACGTCGTGAAACCGACGCAACGGCGGCCCCGGCCTGGACACTGCGAATTTGTTGTCATCTTTGAAATTACCAAATATGATTTGAAAGTTTCAAACAAAAAGTTTGAGATGTACCTAAATGTTTCCCACCACCATCCTTGTGGTCCCTTTGCCATTCGGTGACCCCCACCCCCTATTTTCCCAAACTGCCTCGTCAGATTTATTGGCTCCCAACCTTCTAGGGTGGGTGCTCAACTTTGAATGCATGTACCCTACATCACCCCCGCTAAAGTACCCGTACATTTGAGAATTTACTCAAGAGTACCGGGTGGAATTAAAGCCCTGATGCAAAGGATTGGATAAGGCGGGTGGGTAATATCACCCTACCTCCGATTTCTCATGTCATGCTGGGGTGTACAGGGTAGATGATGAGCCGGGGTGGGGTAGGGGTGGGGTGTATTGGTGAACACCATGCCGAGGGTGCCGAGGTAGAGGAGGAGCAGGAGGACAACGAGGTGTAGAAGGGAGAGCAGGAGGAGGAGGAACATACTACGTTGAAGATGATCAGCCACAAGATGAAACTTCTGCACATCCCATGCTCCTCCTCTGAGTACTCGCGAACATGTCGACTTGCATGTAAAATGCCTCGAATCATAACTCACTGGAGTGCTATGCTGCCAGAACAGATAGTCAGTAGGTTGTTTCAATGTGGATCCATGAGAGTTGGTCGCGATGAAAGGACGTGAAATCCCTCTCAATCGTGCTCATCTGGATCATTCGTACACCGCCGCATGAGCCCGGCAGAGGAGGAAACTTGCACGCGACATCAGCGCTGGTGGGGCTAGACACGCGTAGGAAGATGATGTGGTTTCTGTTTCGCTGTGGATCTAGACATGACGTCTGGCAAGAAGGTACTGGGAAGTCAGTGGAATCATGCACTGCCATGATAGTGAAAAGTTGCTCAGAGCAACGCTGTAGCGTCTGGCTGGTTGAAAGCGTGAAACACCTTTGAGGATGAGATTTTAGAATCAGCAAATATTTTGCGCGTACCTTCTGTGTGCGATAGCTCTTGTTTACAAAAGTGCCTCCACGATTCTATGAAATCCTGCCACAATGCCTACAGGAAGTGGGGAGGGGGGGGGGTGGCGGATGGAAACATGAGGATTTTCATTTCTGATTGCACTCGGAGAAAGCTGGAATGATCTGACGCGTTGATATTCCCAGTCAAGGACCTCAGCTTGAACTGGCCAAGATGGAGAACGGTGACTGATGTTCTGATACACCTGCTGAGGATGCTGACGCTTTTCACGAAGGTCAGGACGAGATCTACAAGCCGAGTGCAGAGTTTTCCAGCAACGCGCATGTCAAGTATGTCTTGCTCTCCTCATCGTCCTCCATGAGTTCAAGTCTCTCCCTGATGCGTCTTGTTTGAAGGTCTCTAGATGATTACAAGAAGCTGTACGCTCGCAGCATTGAGCACCCCCAGGCGTTTTGGAGTGAAATCTCCAGTGAGTTCCATTGGCAGAAAGAATGGTTGAGCCCTCCTGTCAGCATTCATGCGTGACGATGATTTGTTGTGCAGGGATACACTTTCAAAGTACAACTATGACCTGTCTAGAGGCTCGATCAGGTGACACTCGTTCCTACTTGCTGCTGCTTGTTCCCTTTGGAAACCCTCTGGCTTTCCTTGCTTGCCCAACTCCTCTTCCTCCTCCTCCTCTCTCCTCATCGTGCTGAACATCAGTGTAGCATTGAATGGTTTATCGGCGGGGAGACAAATGTTTGCTACAACGCTCTCGATCGGCAGATAGAGATGGGTCATGGGAGTAGGACAGCGTTTCACTGGGTTGGTAACGACGAGGGTGAAACGAAAGACTACACCTTCTCGGACATGTTTAACATGGTGAGTTGATAGAGCAGTTACTTGCAGAGCCGCTGAGTTCACGTCAAGGTGTGTCAAATGGCAAACGTGTTGAAGGATTGTGGAGTGAAGAAGGGGGACCCTGTTGCCATCTACCTCCCGATGGTCATCCAACTGCCCGTAGCGATGCTCGCCTGCGCAAGGATCGGCGCCATACACTCCGGTGAAGTGGCGGAGGGCCGGTGAGACTGGTAGAGCACGTGACTGCGTGATCAGTGATCTTCGGAGGGTTTTCTTCCGAATCTCTTGCTGGGCGTATCCTGGACTCCAAGTGCAAGGCGAGTTGCGTGCTGGGGACTGCGGGGATGTGGCAACCTGACGCAGTACAGGTGATCGTGACGGCAGACGGCGTCATGCGAGGCCCGAAGATGATCAAGTTGATCGAGGTGCTCGCTTGCATGCTCGGCCTTGCAGCGTGGGGTGTCGTTGACGCTTCTGTGATCAGATCGTCCGCGAGGCCTTCGATATGTGCAAGAGCGATGGGCATCAGCTGGACCATGTGCTGATCAGTCAGGTGATCCCACTGCTGCTTGATGCTCGTCCTCAACTTGGCGGGTAGAGACTTCCCGAGGACCAAAGTCCGCTCGGCGAGCTGAAGAACCTTCCGCACCAGTACAAGCTGTGAGAGCCTTTGCCCTTCAAATATTTGAATTTCTCGCTTTACACGCCATCAGCCTCAAGGACCTCTGCGATAAGGCCAGCAACACTTGCCCCGTGGAGTGGATGAAGTCAGAAGACCCTCTCTTCATGCTGTACACTAGCGGTAGCCCTCCCACCGCCAACTCGAACGCTCCTGACCTTCTGACCCTCTCCCAGGATCCACCGGAAAGCCCAAGGGAGTTTTGCACACCACGGCCGGTTACATGATATGGAGTTACACCACCTTCAAGTACACGTTCGACTACAGACCCGGTGCTCGGGAGGACAAGGGTTCAGTGCTGCTGGTGCTGACGAGCCTGCAGGAGATATCTTTTTTTGCACGGCCGACTGTGGATGGATCACAGGTATGCGAGCTACAGGCCACGTGATGAACGGGGAAGCTCTTGACTCGGCCTGTTTCTTCAAGGCCACTCCTACATCACGTATGGCCCGATGCTCAACGGCGCGACTCAGGTTCCCAGCCCAGTCTTGCTAGGAGGAGCTGACATTGCATACCCTTCAGGTCCTCTTTGAAGGGATTCCTACCCATCCGACCAATTCAAGATTCTGGGAGGTGGGAGGAACAAAGTTGGTCGACCCTTCGGCGCTGACAGCCATTCCCCCTCTGGTCAGATCTGCGAGCAGTACAAGGTCACTCAGTTCTACACCGCACCCACCGCCATCCGCGCTCTCATGCGGTTCGGCGACGAGCCCGTCCAACGTTGCAACCTCTCCTCATTGAAGGTGTGACTCCTCCCTGCTCCCCTCCCCTCTCCTCCCCTTCCCTCGCTCTCTCCCTTCACGTCTCGTTCCCTCCCTCTTCTTCTCTCCTCCCTCCCCCACTTGACCCTTCGTTTCCTCCCCGTCCCTCCTTGACGACTCGAAGGTTCTGGGATCTGTCGGGGAGCCCATCAACTCTGAGGCCTGGAAGTGGTACCATACTGTCGTCGGGTCCTCCAAGTGCCCGATCGTAGACACCTGGTGGCAGGTAGGAGAGGAAGGAGAAGAGCAGCGCAGTTGTCTTGACCGATCGCTCTAGACTGAGACGGGAGGACACATGATTACACCGTTGCCGGGAGCTACCCCGTTGAAGCCAGGTATGCCCTCTCCCTCATTTTACAAGACCTGCTGACCTCCCTGTCAGGATCAGCGACGTTCCCCATGTTCGGGGTGGTACCGGCCGTCCTCGATGCCGAGGGCCGTGAGATCACAGAGACGGAGTGCGAAGGGTACCTTGCCATCAAGCAGCCATGGCCAGGGCAGATGAGGACTGTGTTCGGAGATCATGAGAGATTTGAGAAGGTAACCGACGGTGTCAAACGTTAGAGGGGGGGCTGAAGGAGGCAACAAACAGACCTACTTCGAGCTGTACGATGCTGAGAACAACCTGATCTGCAATCACTTCTACATCACGGGAGACGGCTGCAGGAGGTACCTGCCCCACTAGCCTCACCTCCCGCTCTCGGTGACCCTTTGCCCTGGCAGAGACAAGGACGGCTACTACTGGCTGACCGGCAGAGTTGATGACGTCATCAACGTCTCAGGTCACAGGATCGGAACAGCTGAGGTGCGGCTCGAGCCCATGGCACGTCTACGTGACGTTCTCACCCCCGGGGCTCAGGTGGAGAGCAAGTTGGACGAGCACGTGGACTGCACTGAGGCTGCGGTGGTCGGGTACCCTCATCCTGTGAAGGGAGAAGGGATCTATGCCTACGTCATCCTCAAAGAAGGTCGGGATGTGCTGACGCGCCGCTGCTCGCTGACATCTCCACAGGCGTCGAGCCCTGCGATCGCATCAGGCAGGAGCTCAAGAACAAGGTCAGGAAGGAGATCGGAGCGTTTGCACAGCCAGACATCATCCACTGGGCCCCTGGACTTCCCAAGACGCGCAGGTTGAGAGTGAGGGTGAGCAGCGAGGGAGGAGTGATGGGTGCTGGCAGCGGGAAGATCATGAGGAGGATCCTGAGAAAGATCGCTGCTGGCCAGACGATGGTGGATGACCTCGGAGACGTCAGGTGAGTCTCTCGATCCCGGGCTGCTGGGGTTGACCTGGCAGCAGCACCCTTGCGGACCCCTCGGTGGTTGAGAGCCTGATCGCCAGCAAGGCGGACGCTGCCTGAGCAGGGGCGTGTGGGGAGTTGCTGAATCGTCAAGAGTCGCTTGCCGGATTTTGTGGTTTGTTTCGTGGTTAGATCCCTGGTGGCTCGAGCGCATTTGTTAGAAGGAGAATGGGGGTCGAGGAGGAGGAGAGGAGGAGGAGGGGGAGCTGTTTGTGTGTAGCGCACACATGACAATGAAAACACGCGCAGCGAGGAGAGCAAGTCGAAAACACCTCAATTTCGAGTCCAGTCGACCAATCTCTGCTTCCCTACCACCTTGATGACAGTTCCTCACAGCCGCATATCTTACACGACTCATTCACGATCATAGAGCTCAGTGCGCGCATGTTTAGGGGAGGGTTGAGTAGCAGGACACCCTCCCGAGCAGACGAGTGAAAGAGTGACATTTCAACAGCTGTCAAACGACTTTCTTTCATCTCCGTGCAGGTCATATCAAGTTGGAAGAGCTAAGGCAGGACATCGCCAACAGCGTCGATGCGGCGCCTGCAGCTTCGCCTCCTCCTCCCCTCACAATCCCAACACGTCCGTCATCTCGTAGTAACCGGCAGACTTTCCCTGCGCCACGAGCGTGAGGAGCGAACAGGGCTTCTTCCCGCATCACCTTGATCCACTTGGCCGCTCGGATGGCTCCAGCAGCGAAAACGTCTCGTGTGGACGCGCGATGGGTGAGCTCAATGCGCTAGTGACAACATTCAAAACCACTCGCAACACTTCTCCTTCCGTCACCTCATGCTCTGATGCGTAGTACACCGTGTGCAACCCAATTTCCGAGCCCATCCTTGAAGGAAGAACATCATCCCTAGACAGCGCTCGGTCCTCTCAGTCACACCTCAACGCATGCACGCCGATCTCGTTGCTCTTCCTCTTGCCCACTTGACCCTCACGCCCGTAAACCAGATCGTTCTGGAACCTCCGCCGTCACCAACGGGAGGGAAAGCAGTTCTGTTCACCTTGACGTCTCGCCCGATCTCAGTGCAGATGGAGTCTGCGATTCCCATCGCAGTGCCACTGGGGGCGTCAACCTGATAGCAGCAGGATTAGAACCCAACGGCTCTGCATCGGAGCAAGGCGAAGCTGGTGAGGTCAGTGAGAGGGTCACCTTGTGGTGATGGTGCCCCTCAACGATCTCGATGTCAAACTCCTCTCCCAGCGACTTGGCGATCTGAGCTGCCACCTTACCAAGATAATCAGCTCCCTCGTGACCCGACGACACCTTCAAGAACCTTGAAGACTAGGTTGACGCCCAACGAGAAGTTCTGAGCGTGGATCATAGGAACCTATTGAGCAGAGTTCAGTCCGACTACAGTCATAAGGCATTTCAATGATGCGGCACGAAATGTCTCAGAGGCACATCGTGCCGATCGCTCCTTCCCATTGGAGCAGGAGGTAGTAAGGGAAGAGCAGGGAGAGCCGAAGGGAAGAAGAAGTGAAGGATGGGAGAGAGGAGAGCAATCGGGGGGAAGAATGAGGTAAGGAAACGAAGGAAAAGGAAGAAAGGAAAAGGGGGAAAGGGGGAAAGGGGAAGGAGCAGGGGGGGGCTTTACCTTCTTTGAGGACTCCTTCACCGCAGCCCTCCATTCGAAATCCTGCACGGTGGCATGAGAAAAGAGATTGAGCAAACAGAGAGGACCACCTTTGCAGTCGTTCCAATCACCAGCGCGATTCCGAGCTCCTCCGCTCTTTTGGCCAGGGTCTTGAACAGCAACAGTGAGCATGGGAGTAGCAACTTGCGGGAGGTAAGGTCACCTTGGTACCATCAGGGGACGAGAAGTCAATGACGACGTCAGCACCAGGCATGAGCTCTGGGGTCAGGGAGAGCTGCAGGGCGATCGATCAGAGGGAACATGCCTCCACTCATTACGGATTCTTACATCCGACTCGACATCGGGCTCGAAATCGCGGATTTTCTGCCGTGAGCGAGTCAGGAAAGTTTCATTCAGAGATTATCCTCGTGTGAGATGTGAGGGATGATAGCAAACAAGAAGCAGATGAACCAGCTTCTTCCACATCATGGTAGCAAACGAGAAGCTTCTTCCATATCAAGAGATCAAAACAAGGCAGGGCAATTTCGGTGAAGGAGACGTGGAAGCGTTTTGATCCGTTCGAGATCAACAGGGTACAACGCATAACACGCAAGAGACGTGGTTCAAAATCCTGATCTTGAATGGATTGAGACAGTTCTCCATGAATGATCTTTCGTCCTCATATGATCCTCACTAGCCATCCCTTCTCTCATGCTCATCGAACCCAACAACTCTCGTGATCGCGGGGCCAACAAACACGAGAAAGGAGGGAGGAGGGAGGGGAGAATGTGCTCTTACCTTGCCCTGCATGGGATGAGCGCTGTATTCGATCGCCTGCACAAGATCGACGTCGGGGTCTCGTGCTGAGAGGACGAGGAGGCGGCGGCCCATGCGACCCCCCGCGCCATTGATAGCAACCTTGACCGGCATGTTGCTGCAGGGGATCACGCGATATCCACGAGAAAGGGGTGGGGTCCTAAGAGAGGGGTAGGGGTAAGGCAAACTCCCCTGAGGACTAGTCCGTTGGGGGGTAGGGTCCATCTCAGACCACGAATGCAGGGGTGAGGTTGCAAGTCCAGTACAAGATGGGGTCATAATTACTGAATATTAGGAGGTAGGGGTACACAACAACTGTATGCGTCCACGGTCACAAAAATTTTGGTCAAAATTACCGGGTCCATAGCCTGTATGCTCCTGGACTAAATGGGGGTAGGTGTCGATAAGACCACCCCACAGGCTGTCTCGTCGAGTTCACGACAGATGCACAGGGGATGGTGGGGTGGTTAATCAGGATTAAAGGGGGTAGGGTGATGAATTATGGGGGGTGGTCAGCAGGGGACATGAAGAAGAAACAACATCATCGCCCTCAAGTGACTCGCGGAGTCACGGCGGCCGGCCCGGCCGGCCACCCGGACCCGTACCGCCCGGGGCCGGCGTGACTCCGGGAGGCGGGGTGACTCCCGGATCGGCCCCGTCACTCGGAGTTATACTGCGTGATGTCAGGCTCACGGTCAGCGGCCCGGCTCGGTCGGGCAACAATGACCAAGTCTTTACTCAAAGTTAACTTAAAGTTCAGTACGACTGTCATCTCGTTTTTTTTTTTCTTGCCATTTTTTGGCACAAGTCACAAGTCGCCATAGGGCCGGCGGACAGTCATTGACTCAGGCTCGCCTCAGATCCTCGCGGGGGATACTACTGATGACATGATCGAGTCGGCTGGCTCCGGGGGGGAGGGGTGGTGGGTCCGGCCGCTAAAAGGACGGGTCCACATCCGATCGGACCGACCGGGAGGTTATCAGGAGCCCGGCGGGTGACCGTCGGACAGTTGAGTAAAGTTTTCCGGTACAGCCCGCGGCTTCCGAAGCCATTGTAGCCGTCGGAGTACCGAACAAGCTGAACCTGATCCCTGGGGGTGGGGTATGTTGTCCGAGAAGTTGGGGGGTGGTAGGGGGAGTCTGTGTAGTAACCTGATCTCAACAAGCAACATCCTTGCTGTCAGCCCCTCCCCCCTCCCTCTCCTCCCAGCCTCCTGACTCCTCCCCCCCCCCTTCGTCCTCCTGCTCCTGCTCCTGCTCCTCCTGCTCCTGCTCCTGCTCCTGCTCCTCCTGCTCCTCGGGCCTCGGAGTGCCAGGCTCCTCAGGGCCTGCTCCCGGAATCCCGCCCTGCTCCTGCTCTTGCTCCTCCTGGTCCTCCTCGCTCCTTCCCCTCGCTCCTTCTCCTGCTCCTTCTCCCTCCTGCTTCCACTTGCTCCTGCTTCCACTTTCTCCTGCTCCCTCCTGCTCCCTCCTGCTCCCTCCTGCTCCCTCCTGCTCCCTCCTTCTGCCCTGCTCCCTCCTTCTGCTCTTCTTTCACCTGATCCTCCTGCTCACTCCTCCTCATCTGCTCCCGGGCCCTTGCTCCCAACGTCTTGATCCTACTGCTGTGTCCTCTTTGATTCAAGCCCCTTCCCTGCGCTACTTCTGAGCCCCGGGAAGGATCTGATACTGATCGCTTCAAGTCGCATTTGCGAACATGGACGACCAACTCTTCGACCAGATCGACAAGAATCAAGATGGACTTCTTTCTTTGGAGGAGATACAGGAAGCTTTGTCAAACCCCGATATCCCAGAGCAAACGATCAAAGCTTTGTTCGAGACGTTTGATGCTAATGAAGACGGGTTCATTTCTCGCGAAGAAGCGATGAAGAAACTTGTTCAAGTTCCTGCTGGAAAGGAAAAGCTTGTTGAAGAGTTCAAGGTTCTTGATCTCAATGGTAACATCACGGCAACTCGATGCTGTATCAAATTGTCATGTCATGTCTTGCCTTGCCTTGCATCCTTTTCTTTGTTTTTGCCTTGTCTGCGAAAGTTTTATTTTGAATCAAGTCACTTGATTTTCATTCCTATGTTGTCTTGTAAATCGTCTCTCTTTCTCTATGTCTTGATGATTGTGGTGCAGGGGACGGAGTGTTGACCTTCGACGAATTCTATGAAGGGATGAAGGACCAGATGACGGCGGAGGAGATTGAAAGCATCTACCGTCAGCTCGACAAGGACAACGACGAGTCAATCACGCTCGACGAGTTCATCATGTCTCAGATCTTCATGTGCCACAACAACATCAAGACATCGCAGGAAAACATCGACCGCAGCAGAGCATGCCTTACAGAGGTCATGCGCAACCTGACGCAGAGCGACAAGATGGAGACCTGTGTGAACATGCTTCAAGAAGCTCGCAAGCAACATCTTGTCTTGACGTGGCCCTCCAAGAAGAGAGCGCACAAGCGATCTCCTCTCACCGAGTACAAGAATCTCATTAACAGCATCTTCGAAGAATTCTCCAAGGGAAGTCAAGTCCTAGATCGGCTTGGGGGCGTGCAAGCTCTTGCTAAGCTCGGCAAGTACGTCGACGTGGCTGACTTCTCCAAGCTTGTAGCAGGCGTAGGAGCAGAGAGTGACCTTGCGGTGGGAAAAGAACATTTTCTGCAGATCACCTTCAAACTGCTGGCCAAGGAGGTGAAGTCAAAGAGTCAGAGCAGGCTGACTAGCCTGTCGAAGCCAAAGAACAAGACCGGAGAGCTAACGGTAGAAGACTACTTGAATCAAGTTGCCGAGGAAAACAAGCAGAGGCAAGAGTGAAGCTACTCGAGAAATTCCAGAAGCAGGGTTCATCAAAGTCTTTCATGTCCCGCAGAGGTTCATTCTCGTCCAACGCGATGAAGGTGAAGAAGAAGTCGTCTCTCAACCGCAACAACTCCATCGTCACGAGCTGCCCAATCCAATATGAGTTCAAACGGCTGGATGTCAACGGTAGAGAGATGCCATTTTCATCTGACTGTCGACTGACGGCTTCGGTTGCAGGTGATGGAGTTTTATCCTATGACGAGCTGTTCGAAGGGCTCAAGCACAGGATGGAGCAAGATGACCTTGCAGAGCTCTTCGACTACATGGTGAGAAACAATGAGAGCTGCTGGCTCGTTCGTCTCTCCTGTGACTCACTGCTGCCAATAGGACGCCAACGGCGATGGTATGGTGACTATGGAGGAGTTTTGTGAAGCCAAGAGTAAGATCGATCAGAACAAGCCGAAGCTGATCTTCTAAATTCGAACCCTCATCGTCTCGAGCATTTAGAAGCATGTCTTGCATGGTATGTCCCGAAATGTTAGAATATTGTTAGATGTTGTCTATGATGTATGCATGTGGTAACTCACAATGTAATCCGTTCATCGCGAACTTGCGTCCAGTTTCACGCGCATTGATACAGCATCGATGCCACCTCTCACTCTCCTGCTACTTCAGCTTGCCTTTCCTCGATTCAAATGAAATTTGAAAGGAAGGTTGCATGGCAGCGGAGTCCAGAAACATGTTATTGTGGACGATTCTTGTCTTGTAGATTTTCTCTCATGCAGCTCCCTCACAAGAACGATCATCTGCTCGTGCCCTTGCTCGATCTTTCAGGATGTGGAGTCGCTAGAGTTGTGACGGTGAACTTTAAGAGATGGTGAACGTCGAAGACTCGTTTGAAGAGATACAAGATGAGGAAACAACAGATGTCACAACTCTTCGCTTGACAACAAGTGTCTTCACATGTTTACAACTCTTCGCTTTAGAGCTACGCGTGTCTTGTCACCGACACCCCGGTGTTGTCCTGGAGGATGCCGGTGGTGTGATACCCGCACAGCCTCCAGATCGTTGAGTCCGCCTCGTGAAACTTCTGCGCAGCTTTGAGGAGACGGTCCTTGGAGCTCTGCTTGTGCTCTTTAGGGATCGATGCTGCTTGGAACGTAACCCCAGAATCGGCTCGTCGTCGGTTGAGCGACTTAGAGGACCGCAGGCTGGAGAAGCTGAGCGGGCTCGCTAGTTCTGAGGATGGAGACACTGGAGAGGTAGGAGAGTAATGGTCAGACATCTGTGGTAAGGACCTGCGGAAACATCGCAGTCATTCTCGTGCTCCCTACGATTCTTGTCTGGCTCACTACCACTGCCTGCTTCTTGATGACTTGCTTCTGCCTCTCCCTTACTTCCTCTCGTGCTCTTTCAGCGTAATCAAAGTGATGCTCCTGAACAACTTGATCTCAACAGCTATTTTCTTTCTTTCCTGCGTTCCGCTATACCTGTAACATCTGCTACATCTGCCATCGCACCACTCGTAGGACTGAGTAAAACACTATCTCTGTTCTGTCATGAAAAGGCCCTTTCAACAACATTCTCTTCCTTCCCGCCTTGTACTCTCAGGATAAAAACCATTCGACTTCATCTGAACTTGAAGTTGAAAATGTTTCGTCAAGACCACATGTGTCCCCCATTGTTTCTTTGCGTCATTGGTTGTGAAGCCTTTTGAAACTATCAATGAACTATAGCATCTCACAAGTGTACAATGATCTTAACTATGTGAATCGCACACACAAGTCAAAATTCATTCATCATCTGCCATCCTTCTTGTCTCAATCCTGTCTAGCAAAGATGTTTTCATCTCGGAGCCGACGCCTCCTCCTCTTCCATCCCTCCCTCGTTCCCCTTGAGCCCACACGCCACCTTTCGCGCCATACCCGGACCGAGATGCAGTTAAATAGCTTGTACCAGTCTCATCCTACTACCATCGTTCTACTCTGCTCGGGATACCCGAACCATTCAGTACCGCATTTATATAAACTACTATGAATAAGATACAAATTGTATGTACCGGAAGTATCTACTTCAGTACAAATACACAGACGGTTTTCATTATTTGTACCACATTTATAAAAGTGGTCTAATTTATTTCAGGGGTCACTTCTTAACGACCGTCTGTTGACCATTCAGATAGACCAGCACACCCACCCAGTCCCCGGCTGGCAATGGGTGGCTACAGTAGGGGGTACCAGGTACCTCAGGTACCCGAGGTCTAGGGGTGGGTAGTGATGGGTTTCAACAGATAGGTCCTAGGAATATTTCATATGTCAGTAGGACCTCCGTCACAATAAGAAGCACCGAGTAATTCACATTAGGAAATGACCAGCCATACCCTACGCCTCGTACCCTACAGTAGCCCCACCCACCCACCCTTGAAAGTCTAAATCGCCGACTACGACCACCCACCCTGAAACCCTGATGAACATAGTACCATAGCCACCGTACGGTTGACCCATAATGGTCACCGGGGCAATCCCGCCGCAAGTTCCAGTTCCCAGCTGAATCTGCCACCCTTGAACCCATGATGACCGGGTCAAACTTGAATGAGTAGGGGGGTGGGGGGAGGGGGGTGGTGTGGAGGGTATCATGTAACGAACCTCTGAGTGCCTGTTGCCGAGTTGGGGGTACTACCTGGCACCCCCTCCCGGCCCCTTCTAGACCCCCACCGTTCCCCAGAAGCCTCAGGCGCGCGGACCCACCCAGTGCCGTCCAGTGACCTCACCTGCCGCACCGTCGGAATTAGCGGGGAAAGACTACCCCCATACGTGTGGACACGATTCTCAGTGAGCCCTGACTCGTGTATCACCCCCACCCCCTACTACACCTACAAAGTGCTATGTTGCTAAGGGGTGGGGCAACAATCCCTGTGTCACAAAGTGCACTGTGCGGCCACCCCTACCCCTGCCATGACTGTTGGTGAGGATACCCCACCCCCCTCTCCCAGTTCTCTAGAGCCACCCGACCCGGTCTTTCCTAAAGGCCTCCATCTATCCGTTACAGGTCTATGTATCACCATCACCCCCCAATATCTCAGGCGTTGTACCCACCCTGAGATACCCACCCACCCTACTCTGCCCTGTACACTTCTGAAACTAGAACCCCACCGACCTGTCGTAGTACCCCACCCCCCTAAGTGTTCATCTACCAGTCGCAATCCCTCCCGGATCTCAAAGATCGCAATGCCGCCGGTGACGGTGAGTGGAAATGATCATGAGAGGAGGAGGACAGGAGGAGAGGGAGGAGGACAGGAGGACAGGAGGACAGGAGGACAAGAGGACAGGAGGACAAGAGGACAGGAGGAGGGGAGGAGGGGACAGGATATAAAACAACAGGTGGAGAGGAGGATGGGGAGGATGTGAGGGTTGTTATCATTGCATCGATCGATAGAGAATAAGGTAGACTCGTACACAGGAGATGAAAATATTCATCATCTCGTCACAAATGAATTTTATGCTTTTTTTCGATTTGAGATTTCTCCAAAGCACCATTACTGGCTCATTATGTGTCTGAACAGGTTGAAACCGAGGAAGATGTCCAGCTGATGAGAGACAACGAAGCATCAGGAGATGCAAGGCTAGACAGCATTGCGAAGAAGGCAAGAACTCTAGACAAGGGTTTAGACAACTTTTCCAAGTTCTCGGATAACCATGAAGTGTTATCCGCCAAAATATCGTCCTTCTCTGCCCAGAGCCCACCTGAATGTCAAGGAGATGTCAACGAAGCGATGTCGTCCGCCATGAGCATTGTGAACGGCATCGTCGATTCTGTAGACATAGAGATGGTCCTTGGCGGGATCGAGCTCCTCGGAGACATCGCGGCAGCATGCCCGATGCTTGGACCAATCGGAGTGATGGTGAAGAGCATAGTGAGGGTTTGTAACCAGGCAAGATACAACCACCAGCAGGCGATGTTCCTGCAGAAGCGCGTGCAGGAAATCGAGGGGATCCTGAACAAGCTGAAGCAGAACCTGGTGCGGAAGGGGGCAGCGGAGAGCACGAAGATCCTCACTCCTCTCTTCGAAGTCCTCAAGGAAGCTGCTGAGTTCATCGCGGGCATGACCAAGGGAGGCTTCATGAAGAAGATGTTCAAGGCAGCATCGGAGAAGAAAGGACTGGTCGAGGTCGACGAGAAGATCACTAAGTCACTGCAGACCCTCCAGCTTGCGGTCTCCAACGAACAGGTCTGCTTGCATTGCTGTGAGCGTCGGAGCTTGCTGACTTGAGGGATACAGCTGGAGTTGTCCCTGCAAATGGACGACAAGCTCGACAAGATGATGAAGTTGATCCAACAGAACATCCCGGCGGGAAGCAAGGAGCCTGCAGATCTCGACCCAGCGGTCCTGGCGCAGCTGGCCGAGCAATCAGGATGCAAAGCAGCTGAAGAGATGAAGTCCGAGTTGTCGAACATGAGTGACAAGATGATGGGTAAGAAGCGACGTTGGAGCTGTGCCTTATGAGTTTGGTGATCTCTTGCTCGTTTTAGGGAAGATGGATGAAATCGCGAAAGCTGTCAACGCTGTCCAAGAAAAGTTGAACCAAATGGATCAAAAGCTGGATTCCCATCACGAAGAAGACATGGAAGCTCATCGCAGAACCCAGGAGCTCGTGGCAAAGAGTGCTTCGGAGTCCAAGAAAGCTGCAGCGCAGACTCTGCAAGCTGTAATGGCAATCGCTGCCAAGGCTGGAGCTATGAAACCAGTCTTCAGCACAACCCGAGAAGGACAGCTCCTGACAGTTGAAGCTATGCAATATGTGCACAACACCCCCAACGAACTCATCGTCACGGTGCATCAAGACGGCATCGGGATGGATTTGATCCAGCTGACGGAGGAGTTTCACAAGCTAGACGTGAACAACGATGGAGTGCTAAGCTACGAAGAGCTGAGAAATGGGCTCATGAGGACAACGAAGATGACAGAAAGTGAGATCCAAGACTTGTTCCGAGCCTTCGACGTCGACCGCACGCACCTCATCTCGCTGGAGGAGTTCGTCAGCCTCAAGAGACCCAACGTTGACGGATATCCTGGAGAGGACGGAGAGGACGGAGAGAGTTACGATACCAAAGCTGCCTCTGGCGCTCAGACAAAACCCGGCGAGCCAGGCATGGACGGCACCGACGGGCAGGATGGCTTCGATGGGGGAAACGCCAAGGATCTGCTTGACTTCGAGGTAATGGTTGAATTCGTTCGAGACAACCGCGAGCAGGGAACGCGAACTCTGCATATTGAGCACGCGGGACCGAAAGGGAAAGTTTCCAAGGAAGTGGATATCCCTTTTCCCGATGGCATCCTCTACATCAATGCGAGAGGTGGAGCGGGAGGGAAGGGAGGGAAGGGAGGAAGGGGTGGGACGGGGCAGGATGGCGGTGATGGTGGCCCAGGACACGACAGGTTCGATGGAGGAGATGGCGGTGACGGAGGAGATGGAGGTCGACCAGGTCGAGGAGGAGCTGGTGGGAACGGCGGCAACTCTTGCTCTGTCAAGATCAACACCAACGACCCCGCCCTGCTGATGATGATCAAGGTGGACGTGTCCGAAGGCGCAGCTGGGCCGGAGGGAGACAACGGAGTCCCTGGGGCAGGAGGGGAGGGAGGGGAGGGAGGCGCGGGGTCACAATACACTGAGACCTACTCAGAGGGGATTCTCGGTGGGGGAAAGAGCTTCTCAGTCACAAGGTACTCCAACAAAGGAAAGGACGGCAGGAGGGGAAAGCCTGGCAAGCCGATCCGCGACAAGCCGGGCAAGTTCGACGGATCCCTTGGGCGACCAGGACACTGCTCCTTCTGCATCTTCAACGAGCTCGGGTTGAGTGAGACCGCAGGCTCCATCTACCGCCTGTCGTTCGCTCAGAAGCAAATCCGCAAACTTTCCCCCGTCCCCTACACGTACAAGAACCTCTCTCCTCAGGACAACTTCATCGTCTACGGCGAGAGAGTCCGCTTCGGCCCCTGCTCTCCTCAGAACGTGGGAGGCCTTTCGAGCCCCCCCTGCGTGCTCGAGGGGCACCTCTTCCTCAACGACGTCCTCGTCGGCGGAGGAGGGACCAACTTCCCTGGCGTTCCTCCCTCCCACGGCACCAAGTACGGCACCATCGATGCCAGCTTCGAGGTAGAGGTGTCCGCCCCGCAACTCCGCAAGTCCATCTTCCACCTCCATGCTCCCAAGGGCTACCCCTGGTAAGAGCTTGACTCTCTCCCTTCCCCCTCCTTCCTCACTTGCTGCTCCTCAGGCCTTGGAAGTGGAGCAAGAGGGCAGCGCAGCAGGGCATCCTCAAGCTCTTGTGGTCCATCGATGCCATTCCCTTCCAGCGACTCGCCGAGGACAGCGAAAACAGCATTGACGTGGACCTGCAGTACCCCGTCACTTTTGACGTCCCTCTTCAGATCCGAAACAACAGCGGCAAGGCGTTCTCAGGCCCCGTCAGCATCGCCGACGAAGGCTCCGTCAAGCTGACGTTCCAGGTGGAGAGCAAGTTGTCAAACGCGACGGTACAGGACGGGATCTACACCCTCATCATCCGAGCAGCAGCCAAGGGGTTCGAGCCGACTTTGCGCTTTGACGGGCTCAAGGAGATCTCCAAGGAGACTAGCCCCGATGGGGAGAACACTCTGATCGCCTACAAGTACAACGTTCCTCGCCTCGAGAGACGCCAGGTCCTCAACCTCGACCTTCAGGCGATCCTCCCCAGCTCCGCGGCTGCTGGACAGTGGTTCTGCCTCCGCCCCGAGCTCTGGCTCAAGGACGTCCCGTTCGAGTACGGAGTCCCCCACCAGATCCGCATCAGCCCTCCTCTCCCTCCTGCCACCGGAACCCCGAAGGACGTAATCATCTTCGCCGGAGTCGACATGATCGCAGAGGACTTCGTCACACTGGTAGAGGTGTGCGAGGTCATGAACAGGAGGCCCTTCTTCGTCGACTGCGAGCACTTCGGCGACAAGTCGGGCTTCGTGGACGTGGAGAAGTGGAAGGGGCACCTGGGGCAGGCGACCATCGTGTGGTGCCACAAGGCGTCTAACGAGGCTCTGGGCAAGTTCGTTGCCGCTTTTCAGCAGCACGTGAGGGATGGGGGAGCGCTTATCCTCGGATCTGGCAGCAACTACCCGAGCCCCTCGGACTACTCGGCCCAGAACCGCCGGGTCGCGCAGCTTGCCGGGTCCCTGGAGATCAACAAGGTATCGGTCAAGGAGAAGGTTGTCAACAACTCAGTGGAGGGAGCCAACCTGACGACCCTGTGCCTCGCTCTCCTTCACACCCTCAAGACCGCGGACAAGATCTCCATGCTCACCCGCAGCGACCCCCTCCTCAACATGAAGCTCACCAACCTGACTGCCAACGTGTACAAGACCACCAAGACGCCCTCCTCCTGCTGCCCCTGCATCTTCCACGGCAAGTCAGAGATCGAGCTGGTCCAGAGCAGCACGCCGCTGACGGTCAAGGACATTCTCCTGGCCTCCCTGGTAGTGGAGTGCCACCAGGAGCACCAGCAGAGGCTCTCCCCCACCAACGGGCCCGCGCTCGGCCAGGTTTGGAACATGAGGAGCGCAGACATTGACATGGCTAAGAGCATCTTATGGGCCTCCGGCTACCTCCGCTCCGTGAACGCTGACAAGTCACTCGTGCCGACGTGGGGGAAGCTGAAGCAGGAGGTCGTTCCACTGTCGGTCAGGCTCGAGCAGATCAAGATCATGTCGACGACATTCCTCCCCCGCAGTGTGAGGCTGGAGGAAGGAGTTGCCACGAGCGCAGTGCTGGTTCAGGGGATCTCAGTGTGAGGAGGCTCAGGGGATCCACCGTGACTCAGGACTGACTAATGAGCCTGGAAGAGGCCCAGGGGACTCGGCGAGCTCGGGACTCCGGGAGGGGCCGCGGCCTGACTCAGTCGGGGCGGGCTCGAATAACAGTGGATGATAGTACCGTCCGCAGTATAGATCGCTCAATAGTCCGCCGTTGAAGGTTACGGTAACCTTACTTTTTACTCAAAGTTAAGTTAAAACCTTAAGTTTTACCGTCAACAAATCTTACTCGGAACTTGTGCTAGACTGCCCAGTAGACTGCCCGTCCCGGCGGCTCAGCCATCTTGGCCGGTCGGTCCGCTCACCGGGCTGGCCCGTGACGATTATCGGGGATCGGGAGGCTAGCCACTGAGTAGCCAGCCGGGGCCGGGCCGCCGGGCGCGGCACCGTCAGCGCCCGGGCCCCGGCCCGCGGCGGGACGGTACCGTACCGTACGTACGGTATCGTGACTACGGTACTCATCAGGTCAGCCGGGCCGGGTGAGTGTGAATTGTGTAGGTTATGAGCCTTCAAGGGTCCCGTAAATGATGGGTAGGGTGACTGAGGTTTCCCTTCCTCAAATGCTTCGAAAGGAGGGTGGGTACTCTTATAGCTTGATCAAGTACCCCTGCGTATGACCATTAAGATCCCTACATTTTACAGATAGGGTATAAAAATCAGGGGTAGTATTTAATGCCTTTCTCCAGTGCATTCGATCGGAGGTGGGGTCATCTACCCTACCCCATCAGTCCTCCCTTATTAGATCAATCCCCGCCCCGCACGCGCGTCATGCTGTAACGCAATGAGAGTGTTGAGGAGGAAGGGGGGAGGAAGAGGAGGAGAAGCAAGACATCTATGTTGAATTTGATACATTTCAATGTGTGGAAGCGATTCGGATGCAGATGGGATCGTGGGACGAGGGAGGACAAGAGTAAAACTTGAAAGGAGCCAACAACTGTGACAGAATTCAGTAGTGAGATTTAGATGAGATTCAAGAACGTGCAGATGGCTGGATTCGTTAGAAGCGTGCCAAGGCAGTAGAATTAGTCATGTCGAGATGAGAACCAAGGAGGCTGGAACAAAGTAGAGATGCCGTAGAAAGGAACAGGAGATGAAGGAAGGGGGGGAATCGACGAAGCAGGGGAAGAGAATTTGGAGGAGAGAGAGGAACGACGAAATGGATTGATGCGACAAATCCAAACATCATCCTAGATCATAATGGTTCCGAGCAGAACTTCTTGACGGGAAGAGGTTGTGTATGTGTGTTGTGTGCGGTGCATGTGGTATGGTTCATAATGATTCGTGAAGGGTGTTGTTCGCTTCATGGTAACGAAATGCGCTGGTTCCCCTTCGATCCTTTTGAACTAGTAGGCTGAGATGGCTTATCCTGTATCGAGCTAGCTTGTCCTCCTTCCTTGTGATCCCCGCCCTCCCTGCCCCCCTCCTCGTCCCCCTCCTCTCTTTCAGATCGCTGACTCGTGTGGAGGAAGGGAAGGGCCGAGCATGTCAAGGTGGGAGAGACTTCTCGAGATCGCCTCCCGTTCGCCCCTCCTGGTTGCAGCAGGAGCTGCCACCACTGTTCTCCTGTCTCGATCGCTCCTTCGCGCGTTGACGGCAGGCGGGAGGAGGGGCAAGACCCTTGTGATCAAGGTTCCAGCTACCACCGCCAACCTCTCATGCGGCTTCGATGCCTTCGGCGCAGCTCTTGGGATGCACATGTTGCTAGAGGCAACGGCAGCGCCGGAGCAGGCGGGGACATGTTTCAGCTACGAGGGGGAGGGAGCGAACGAAGTGGCTCTGGACGAGTCTAACATTATCTGGAGGAGTGCGGTTGCGTGCGCCGCCATGTACGCCCCCGGCAGGCAGATGCCAAAGCTGCGCGTGCAGGTGAAGAACCCAGTGCCCTTCGGTCGAGGGCTGGGGAGCAGCGCTACAGCCATCATAGCTGGAGTCGTGCTTGCAAAGGAGTTTCTGGGGCTGAACCTGACGCAAGAGCAGCTGCTGAACGCTGCGCTGACGATTGAGACGCATCCTGACAACCTCTCAGCTGCGCTGTGGGGAGGGATGACGGTGAGCTGCGTCAACGAGAAGGGGGAGAGCTTCGTGCGGAGCTTCGGGATCTCAAAGAAGCTCAAGGCGGTTGTTGTTGTACCTGACTTCCAGCTTGCCACGTCAGTGCCCGCGCTTTCCTCCTTCCTCCTTCTTGATCTGTCCTTATGCTCCTCCCTGCGTTGCTCCTGCTTCCTTCCGCCTCCCTCCTCTCATCTCTTCCACCTCCCTACCTTGCACCTCCATTGTCCCCCCCCCCCCCCTTCACTTTCCCCTCCTCCATCCTCTAACGCTGCTGATCCTCTTTGACGTTCAGGTCGAAAGCCCGCGAGGTGCTACCGGCCAGCTACAAGCTTCAGGTGACGTCAACGAAGTTTCTTTGCTCCATCTGATCCTCCTGTAGGATGTCGTCTTTAACATCCAGCGCGCTGGGCTCCTCCCCCTTGCTCTGCAGGATGAGACGCCCGACGTGAAGGTGGACAGCGGGAGGGGAGGGGAGGGGAGGGGACTGAAGCATCAGTAGATGATCAGAGAGTGCATGAGGGACCGGGTCCACCAGAACCAGCGAGCCCCGTTGGTGAGCCTCCTGCTCGTGGCTCGCAGGAGGCTCAAGTTGTTGCAGGTTCCAGGGCTGGAGGACTGCCTCAAACTGCCTTCCACCTCAGGTCAGACTCTCAGTCGGATCCCCCGCCGGCCTGACATCCTCCTCCTCAGGAAGCTCATCCCTGATCAGCACTGCGTTGAGTGGTAGCGCAAGGAGACGACGGGGATGGAGAGTTGCGGTGACGGTGGAGCAGGAGCGGGGCCGACTATCATCGCCTTTTGCCAGGGAGAGTTTGACGGTGAGCTCTTCCCTGACGCACCGGCCGCTAAGACGCGAGAGCTTGCAGACATCGGGAGGAAGATGCAGGAGACGCTGCGAAGCAAGGGCATCTCCTCGAGATACTTTGTGAGTTCACCCTGTGCTGGGCGGGGAGGTTGGGGCTGACGAGACTGGAGGTCCTGCCCTTCTCATGCCAAGGAACCCAAGTGCAGTGGATCTGAAGCACAGGCTCCCTTGTATTTCTTCCATCCTGTTGATAAACCTAATTGTGTCTCGGCCTAATAGTGGCATGTCTCGGCCTGATCATCGGATAGTCCGACTATCCGTGAGTCACGCCGCCGGTCTCGCCGCCTGATAGCCTGGCACTCGGAGTGTCCGATCAGTGTCACGCCTCAGCCTGCCATGAGAGTGTCTCGGCCGCCGCCGGAGCCCGGCTAACGGGGGCCGGGCCGGCCGAAGTTGCCACCCACCGCCGGTCGGCGCAGCCAGTGACTCGGTCACAGAGTCAGCCCGCGGCGCCGGAGTCAGTGCCATGATCGGATAGTGCCAGTCTCGCCCCGGGCGGCCCCCGCCGCCGAGTCAGTAACTTCAGCGGCGAGTCACTCGGCCTGATCACTGAAAGTAGCGCCGGGAGTCCGGGCCTGACAGGCGTGTCACCGGCGGGGAGTCCGATCGGTGGCCCGGCCTGACCCGCCGGGTCCAGGCCGCCGCTGTCTTGGCCCGGCTCTGGGCCGGGGTGTGCCACGGTGAGTCACGGTCCGGGCCCCGGCTAGCAACTTTTTACAACACAATATTGCTACGGAGTAGTAATGACTCAAGGTCAAATCACCCTAACCCCCTTTCTTGGAGCATCAAAGCAGGAAGCAAGGGGTAAACAGTTTAGCCGGTCATCGAGATAAAACGTATTTAATATTAAATCTAGTTTTAATATTAGATCTTTTCCCCCGTGCTCGTCGCGAGAAACGTTGCGGCATGCAGTCCTTCCACCTCGTCCGCACCCGCCACCGCCCCTCCCTCAACCAGCCTCCCGACGCCCGCGCTGTCTGCCTCGACCTCCCCACCATCCAGAGCGTCCTCCACCTCCGTCAGTCCGACGCCGCCGACGTCCTGGTACCTGTCCCCTTACCATCCCCCCGTCTCTCTTCTCTTCCCCGCATCCGCCAGTGACAGCGAGGAGTCTGACGGGGCGTGCGCAGGGCATATCGCTGACCGCCCTCAAGAACGCCTGCAGGTCTCTAGGCATACGCAAGTGGCCCTACCATCGCACCCGCCAGCTCGCAGACACCGATCGCAGGACCAGTACAGACCCGGCGGTACCCGCGGAGTCTCCGGGCGATGCGTCCGATGGGTCGTCGAGCCACCATGGCAGCCCCGTCAGCCCGGCCTCGGCCTCCGCATCAAGCGAGGCGTCGGAGGCGAGGCACAGACGGGCCGTCGCGGGGGAGTCCGGGGCAGCACAAGACCTCAGTCCTCGCAGCTTCACTCCGTCCGGCAGCTCGGCCATGGCGTGCTCGTCGCGGGGGGGCGCAGGAGGGTGTGAGGGGCTTGAGCTCGGGGCTCAGGCGGGGGGGGAGTGCGCCAGAGAGGGAGGAAGCGGCGGAGCAGGGAGGGACTCAGGAGATCAGCGGGGAGGAGGCGGAGAGGCAGCCAGGCGAGGGGGAGAAGACGGGAGAGGGGAGGAGTGGCCGACGTACAGGGAGAGGGAGGGAGAGAGGGGGTTGGACGAGGAGTGGCTGAGGTGGTACATGAAGCAGCCGATGGGGGAGGAGGAGGGCGAGGCGGAGAGGAGGTGATGGATGGGTTTTAATGATAGTTGGCATTGAAATGAAGGAACTTGAACGTGTAAAATCTTCCTCGTCTGCCATGTTGACGTTGCTGTTCGTGGTGTTGCACGACGTCAAGTCAAACTCAAAGAAAGGAGGGCGGGGGTGGAGGAGGATGACGTTAGCGTACAAGTTTACATTGCCTCTTGTATTGCCGTGGACGAATGGTCGTCGGGGAGATGTACGAAACCTAGGAGGGTGACGAAGAAAGTTGGATGGGAAATATGATTGTGATGCAGGTTTGGTTGCATATTCACAAACTAGGATCATGCATGGGATCTGGCACGTGGATTGTTGTCAACAGATGTGTGAGTGTTGGGGAGACAGGTGGTGAAGAAGGTCGAGGAAAAGCAACAGGTCGTAATGAACAAACGAATGCGATCATTAACTCATGTCGCAGACTAATGGAGCCCTCAGCCCTCAGAAGTCACTCAAGGATGTCCATGATGCAAGAAATCGAAGACACGGGAGAGGACAAAGAGAAGACAAACCCGAAGATCCAACACGACGAGCAGTAGAATCCGCAAGAACAGCTCGCTATGAGCAGAAGAGCAGCACAAGAAGCAGGAGCAGGAGCAGGAGTGGAATGCAGAAGCAGGTTATCACAAAACCAACCGAAGAGCAGGCAGTGAGGTAGGACTTATAGATATTCGTTGTAGCAGGTGGTACCTGAGACAAAAGACAACGAAGAAGAGCAGGAAACCAGCAGACAGAAAGAGAACCCTGAGATGTGAGCAAAGGGTACCGCGTGGAAGCAGGCGATGCAGCAGGCGACGCAGCAGGCGATAGTAGGGCAGGCGGTGGAGCAGCGGATGGACCAGGCGATAGTACGGCAGGCGACGCAGCAGGCGATAGTACGGCAGGCGATGGAGCAGCGGATGGACCAGGCGATAGTACAGCAGGCGATGCAGCAGGCGATAGTACGGCAGGCGATGCAGCAGGCGATAGTACAGCAGGCGATGGAGCAGGCGATAGTACGGCAGGCAATGGAGCAGGCGATAATACGGCTGGCGATGCAGCAGGCGATGGAGCAGGCGATAGTACAGCAGGCGATGCAGCAGGCGATAGTACGGCAGGCGATAGTACGGCAGGCAATGGAGCAGCGGGTGGAGCAGGCGATGGAGCAGGCGATAGTACAGCAGGAGATGCAGCAGGCGATAGTACGGCAGGCAATGGAGCAGGCGATGGAGCAGGCGATGGAGCAGGCGATGGAGCAGGCGATGAAGCAGGAGATGGTGCAGGCGATAGTACGGCAGGCAATGGAGCAGCGGGTGGAGCAGCGGATGGACCAGGCGATAGAGCAGGCGATAGTACAGCAGGCGATGGAGCAGGCGATAGTAAGGCAGGCGATGGTGCAGGCGATGGAGCAGGCGATGGAGCAGGCGATGGTACAGCAGGCGACGCAGCAGGCGATGGTACAGCAGGCGACGCAGCAGGCGATAGTACGGCAGGCGATGGAGCAGCGGATGGACCAGGCGATGGAGCAGGCGATGGAGCAGGCGATGGAGCAGGCGATGGAGCAGGCGATAGTACGGCAGGCGATGGAGCAGGCGATGGATCAGGGGATGGAGCAGGGGATGGAGCAGGCGATGGAGCAGGGGATAGTACGGCAGGGGATGGAGCAGGCGATGGAGCAGGCGATGGAGCAGGCGATGGAGCAGGCGATGGAGCAGGCGATGCAGCAGGCGATGCAGCAGGCGATAGTACAGCAGGCGATGCAGCAGGCGATAGTACAGCAGGCGATGCAGCAGGCGATAGTACGGCAGGCGATGCAGCAGGCGATGCAGCAGGCGATAGTACGGCAGGCGATGGAGCAGGCGATGGGGCAGGCGATGCAGCAGACGATAGTACGGCAGGCGATAGATCAGGCGATGGAGCAGGCGATGCAGCAGGAAGTGGAGAAGCAAGAGCAGACCTCACGAGAGCACGCGAGTTCCTTAGACAAGACACAGAAGCTTCTGGAATTCTCAGAACTATTGACTCGATAGAGCGGAAAATGAAAACATGTTAAAGAACAATGCGGCAGGTCAAAACGTGATCAGGCCATGACAGAATCGGAGGGTGCCTGTTTTGTCTTGGCGAAATAACTTCTTTTCAAGATATAAAACCTCTTGTGGGAACGAATTGTCTTTCCCCCGATCTCCAGATCATGGTTCCACACTCCTCCTGTTAAGATTCCCCCTATGTTCCCTTCCCTCACTCCTTTGACACGATTGCTGCAATGAACTCGTGATCCCATGCCGGAAACACTCTCCTCCCTTTCAGCTCCATTCCCTTGATTCTCCCTCCTCCTCCTATCCTCCTCCTATCCTCCTCCTATTCCTCCCGTCTTCATTCAACACTCTCCGGCTCCCATGCAGTCCTTCCACCTCGTCCGCACCCGCCACCGCCCCTCCCTCAACCAGCCTCCCGACGCCCGCGCTGTCTGCCTCGACCTCCCCACCATCCAGAGCGTCCTCCACCTCCGTCAGTCCGACGCCGCCGACGTCCTGGTACCTGCCCCCTTACCATCCCCCCGTCTCTCTTCCCTTCCCCGCATCCGCCAGTGACAGCGAGGAGTCTGACGGGGCGTGCGCAGGGCATATCGCTGACCGCCCTCAAGAACGCCTGCAGGTCTCTAGGCATACGCAAGTGGCCCTACCATCGCACCCGCCAGCTCGCAGACACCGATCGCAGGACCAGTACAGACCCGGCGGTACCCGTGGAGTCTCCGGGCGACGCGTCCGACGGGTCGTCGAGCCACCATGGCAGCCCCGTCAGCCCGGCCTCGGCCTCCGCATCAAGCGAGGCGTCGGAGGCGAGGCACAGACGGGCCGTCGCGGGGGAGTCCGGGGCAGCACAAGACCTCAGTCCTCGCAGCTTCACTCCGTCAGGCAGCTCGGCCATGGCGTGCTCGTCGCGGGGGGGCGCAGGAGGGTGTGAGGGCCTTGAGCTCGGGGCTCAGGCGGGGGGGGAGTGCGCCAGAGAGGGAGGGAGAGGCGGAGCAGGGAGGGACTCAGGAGATCAGCGGGGAGGAGGCGGAGAGGCGGCCAGGCGAGGGGGGGAAGACGGGAGAGGGGAGGAGTGGCCGACGTACAGGGAGAGGGAGGGAGAGAGGGGGTTGGACGAGGAGTGGCTGAGGTGGTACATGAAGCAGCCGATGGGGGAGGAGGAGGGCGAGGCGGAGAGGAGATGATGTTTTTGATTCTCGTATCCTAAATGTACATAAGTTTTGAATACAATCCTGCTCCTGTTCCACGATTGAAATCGAACAAATCTTTCTTTTAGTGTTTTCCTGTGGCTCACAGCAACTAGCTTTATAGATGTCTGCTATGCTATTTCTGAACATAGGTAAAATGCGTCGCAGAAACGGGCTTGTAGAAGACCTTCACCGTGTTACTGCCCCAGCGGCAGAACTGTCAGTGCCCTCCCAACCCCAGTCATACTTCGAGCCTGCTGGAAACTTGTCCTGGAAATGATCCGCCGGCTGTTGCACATACCATGCTATCCAGCTCGATATCTCCGACGCTGCTGTCGCCCCTGCTGATGGGGCTGGCGGACTTGTTGGCGTCTGGAAGGCTGAGAGGAAGACAGGGACATCATCACCTCCATCTTCAAGTTTCTCGCACAGCCACGTATGGTCATGCTTCCACCTTTCAAGAGCCTCCTCCTCCTCGCCATCCTCGTCCCCATCCCCATCCTCCTCCTCGTCCTCCTTCCGCGCATGCATCTGCCAAACATTCGTGGCTGCATGGTACTGGTAAGCTGTTTCCTGGAGGTGGGGTTGACTTCGCCTGCTTCGATGGTAGGGCCACTTGGCAATTCCTAGCGCACGGCAGGCGTTCTTGAGGGCCGTGAGCGATATTCCCTGGACAAGCGAGTGAGTGCAGGTACAGTTAGGCTCCTTCCTCCTCCCCTACCAGCTGCCTTGCCGCGTCGACTTGCCGCAGATGAAAGAGCTCTAGTATCTTATCTCGGTCCAAACCTATCGCATGCCGAGCAGCGCCCGGCTGAGGGCTACCTCTCACCCTGCGCTGTCGGGGAACAACGAGATGGACGGACTTTTCCATTGCCTCAGAGAGGAGAGGAGATGCTGGCATTAACTCACGAGATGATGGGATGAGACTTGACTGAAGGAGTAGAAGTTTGAACAAAAGCTAGGGTTGAGAGAAAATAAGAGTGTGAGATTGAAAGAGATGACAAGAATAATTTGGGATAAGCAGAAGTTTCAGGAGAAGAGGAGGAGGAGGAGGAGGAGGAGGAGGAGGAGGAGGAGGAAGGGCAGGGAGGCACAAGAAAAGCTAGTTTTAGGAGTCGGCGTTGCGAGGGTCGCGGGGAGCTGCACCAATCGTTGTGTTTGAAAGGGTCAAAAGGTGGGTTGACTTCTTCATGGTCACGTCACCTTATCACGTTACGCTTAAGACCGCACCGGCCGGAACTCCGAAGCGAGACACGAGCAGTTCGAACCGTTGGACGGTTACAGACAACAGGAAAGGACAACCCCGACAAACCCGCCTCAACAGAACTCTAGGAAAAGGGGGGAAACCTCTGCTACAAACATTTACGGCGGCATGCACGACAAGCAGGGGAACAAGGACCAGGACAAAGAGCAGTAGCGCAAGGTTGCTGCAAGGAGGACGGCAGGATCCATGCAAGACCGATATGCCGAAACCGGTGAGCACGCAAACGATGAAAGCCAGGGTCCCCGTACACCGCCTCCTGAGCGCATCCATCCCACTCGCTGTCAGCAGATCCATGGTGATCCGCCAGAGAAACCAGAGAAACCGCAAAGCGTCAGCATGAAGAAGACCATCCGTACCTGCAGTGAAGGGAAGAGAGGCTTTCGGCGGGTGATGGGTGCCATAACTTGCTCAGCGATGATCCGAAATCTTCTGTTGGGCTGGACCAGCAAGAGCGCAGAAAGGCCGACGGGGCTGCCGCTGCTGTTGTAAGGATGAGTCATCGTCAAGTCCAGCACCAGCCCATTGCAGGTGTGGGTGGAGAGGCCAGGGAGCCAGAGGTCGCCCATGTGTCGGTCGTTGGGACCATGCCGCTGAGGGACGTGGGTCCAGGTGTGTCGCAGTCCCTGCTGATGAAGCTTCGTGACGATATCAGCATCCACACAGATGTTGCGGAGAACCACAGTACGCTGCTCATGCGCGGTGGTCCATAGAGCTGCTGGATGACGACAATTGGCCAGGTGAGAGACGCTGCTTCCCGCCGATGGGTCTAAAGCTGTAGCGGTAGGAGACTAGTCGGGGGCAGCACATGGAGGAAGCGATCGACCCCTCGCACGAGGTGGATGGGGCAATGGTTGGAAGGGTGGAGTTTCGTTGCCTCCATCAGAGAGTAGTGCAAGCGCCGCTGAGGGTTCAGAGTCTTCCGAAGGAGGAGCGCCAAAGGGGAACGGGCTACAAGACTGACAGACTCGCTGACTCGGAGGGATAGAGCTCCACTGTGCCATGAGCCCGGAGGAGAGCTCAGCGGCTGCCTGAACCTGGGATAAGTGCGCCCGCCGCTAGTAACCAAACTTACTAAGTAAAAATCAGTACGAGGACAATCAGGAGAGTCGAGGAGGCTTGACCCTGACACTGTCGCACTGGCCAAAAGGCGAGAAGAGAAAAGACAGCGAGAACCAACCCAATCCTGCCGACTGCTGTCCCCCAAACTTAACTGATACCTTCGGGATTGACTCATTAACAGTGCATGCGCGCGGGACAATCCCGGAGTCCCCCCGCGCCATGCGCCCGCGGCCCGGCCGGGCACCGATGTCGCTGTACTACCGTACACCGTACACCGATGTCGCTGTACTACCGTACACCGTACACCGATGTCGCTGTACTACCGTACACCGTACAGCGGTGCATTCCGGCATGCGTCTCACATTCCCAGTCCAGCAATGACACCAGTGACTCGGACGCATGCCGGAATGCACCCGCGATGATGGCAGCGTAGGACCGGGACAGGGAGGCCTTGAGCCGCTGACGAAAGATCCTGGACCGGATGCGTTTGCCAAGCACGGTCGGTTCACCTGAGACGTCTTGCGAGGCCCGAGCCTGAGACCATCCAGCGCTGCCGTTTCCAAGTTCCTTGTTCGCCGCGCCGAGCGATCCGCCAGCCACCACAGAAAGCGCAACGCATCGTCCTGCAAGAGGCCATCAGTGCTGGCGATGATGGGAAGAAAGGCCTTTGGCGGGACGTGCTGAGCATTTGGCACTAGTACTGGCCGGGTGGTGGCAGTGACGGTCCGGGCCCGGCGGGCGGCCCGGCCCGGCGCTCGTCGGATTTACCTGACCAGCAACAGGATTGAAGCGTTTTCGGACGGGGCCATGCTGGGCCTTCGTAGGGCAGGAGTGCGGCAGCGAGGACGACGGCTGCTGCCGCTGACGATGCCGCTCTGCATGCTCCTCGTCTTGCTCTGGACTCTCTTGGCTCCCTCCGTGAAGCTGAACCCCGTCGAGTTGTATGCTCCTGACGCTGGTGCTCTCGTGACCTCCCAGCCAGCTGGAGGCGTGGAACCTGCGGGCACGACGTCGCTCACAAACTCTTCTGATGTGCAGGCGCGCCCCAAGACGAGTGGCACTGAGGAAGACAAGAATGTCTTGGTGGAGAAGAGGGAAAGAAGTGCTTCGACGAACAAGCTTGTTGCACGCGACTCTGAGATCCCTTCCCCTGTCCTTCTGCCTGTTAATCATACCATGTGCAAGTACAGCAGCGAAGCTTCCGAGGCCCTGTGGTCGAAGCAGGACTCGGACGAGTTTCAGAAGATGTTGTGGTCGTGGCAGCATCCTCGTGACTGCTCTTCCAAGCAGCTCTACGTGTACGACCAAGAGTTCGGCATGGGGCTGGGCTCTTCCATGCATATCAGGGCCCACAACTTCGCCATGGCGCTGCAGCTGGGAAGAGTCTTTGTCCACGCACCCGATCTCAAGTGGGAGTATGCTACCAGAAACACAAAGTTCTGCACAGAAGCGACAGCTGATTGCTACTTCTTGCCCGTGAGCACCTGCTCCGCCCCCGCAAACTACCGCGAGACGGCGGAGGAGATCAATGGCAAGGCAGACGGAGCGTCAAACAGGACGCTGGTGAGAGGACACGGCAACAGCCACAAGCTCCTCCTGTGGCACAACTTCGTGTTGGACCCTCCTCAGTTTCACGGGCGCTTTCGGGGGAAGACGCACCGGTGGTGGATGTCGCAGATTGTGAGGTACCTGATGCGACCAAACGAGAGGTGCTTGGAGGAGTACATCAACCCGGCGCTTGCAAGCATCTTCCCGCAGGGAGTCCCTCCTAACATCGCCTCCATCTTCGTGCGGCACGGGGACAAGCACTACGAGGCCAAGAGGAGGAGCGTGGAGGAGTACTTCGACAGGCTGGCGAATCTCGATATCAAGGATGTGTACGTGGGCTCGGACAGCGCCTCCGTCATTGCACATGCCAAGTCAAAGTACGGGAGCCGATATCGGCTCTATCACCTTCCCATGGCTCGAACCCCCGACGGTTTCAGGCTGGTGGATTTCAGGCAGCACAAGAACGCGGGGATAGAGGGGCAGCACCTTGCCGAACTCTTTCTGTCCATCCAGGCGGCGGTGGCGGTGGGAACCTTCTCTAGCAACTGGTGTAGACTTGTGCACGAGCTGCACGATCAGGACGGGCATGCAGCATGTGCGTACATCTCCTTGGACGAGTGGGGTGAGACAGATAGGTAGCGTGACATGCGTGCGGACAAATTAACACGTTTGCGACGGTGTAGGGAAGAATGAGATACCAAAAGAATAACATAGAGATCTGTGGCAATATGTGACAACATAGGATGAAACAAATTTATTCATTTCAATCGCAACCAATCATCCACTCCCCTTCCTTAGCTTCAGACCGTCCAATGATTGTTTCCAGTCCTCCTCATCCTCCTACCGCTACATCAGACAAGCCTCAAGAGTGAAGGAAGTCTCTTACCTCGTCAAAGAGCGCGCTCTTCTTCTCTTTCCCCGCTGCCCGAGAGGCTTGTGCGCGTCGTTCTAGTTCGCTGCTACTCCATCAAACAACTCTCAAGTCAGCCGCCTCACTCTCCTCTCACCTGCTCACTTGCTGGTCTCCTCCACCACAGAGACTTTCGATATCTTGGTCGTCAACATGCAAGAGACTCTCGTCCAGGTCCTCATAGTCCCCGAGCTCCTCCTTCACGTTGACCCTCTCCGAAGCTGCTCTGAGGAACAGCACAGCGTCACAATCTCAGTCGACGACTGAGGCCGCAGGGAAGGGAGGACAGGCAAGTGCATCAGGTATCGGTTCTTTTCACAGCATGGGGCCGCTAGCGGGCGGGCCAGCGGAGGTTCCCAGCTACTCCAAAGGTGTCCTAAGGAAGTGTAGTCCTCATCCGCACTGTGGTGGTGGAGGTGGTGGTGGATGGATGGATGGAGGAGGAGGCTACAAAACGTCCGCCGATTGGGCTGTG